AAATAAAGGTCTAAAAGCACAACTCCCTCCCTCAAGGTTATCTTAGGATCTTGTTGAAAGAGCTGCCTCGAGTCAGCCAGACAGCTGGGCTCCGTTACTTCCCTCCCGCTTCTCATCAGGCACGACCCCAAAGCTCTAGAGTCGCCGTGGTGCCAGTTCTAGATAACCGAGATGGCCCAGAAGAAGTAGCTCCTTTCTATTACTTCAAAAACAATTTTATTTTTATTGATCTTACAGAGAGAGGAAGGGAGAGGGGGAGAGAGAGAGAGAAACATCAATGGGAGAGTCACTGACCGTCTGCCTCCTACTGGGGATCGAGCGGGCCACCTGGCATGTGCCCTGACTGGGAAGTCAACTGGCGACCTCTTGGTGCACTAGATGACGCCCACCCTTGACCCACACAGGCCACCGCTGCAGCATGTGTTTTCTAAGACAGTCTCTACCTCAACCACACTATTATCACACCCAAGAAGTTTTCAATTGGCGCAGTATCATTTAACGTACAGCCCCTAGTAATGTCTCCCCTGTTGTCCCAGTCATCTTGGGCTGGCTTCAGGTGACAGTGGAAAGGATGGTCGCAGACCAACAGGATGTGGATAGGAAGGGGGTAGGGGAGAGGGGGTGTGCCATCTGAGTAGCCCGAAGCTGTGAAGTTCATGACTTTACCCCACCTCCCGTGTGCCGCCTTTTCCTTCCCATTCTTTCTCCCTTGTCCCTCTCCCCTCTCCTCCTGCTGGTCAGTGGGTGGATGCAGGGGCCTGGGACTTGGGGGTTAGGGCTGGGAGATCTGAACTCTTGGAACTGGCCCAATACCAGGCAAGTCTTGCCCAGCACCCCAAGGTCTCTGTTTGAGGCAATCAGTACATCCTGGCAGCTTACAGGTAGAGGCTGAAAACTGGGGTACTTACTGGAATGCAACGCAGCTCCATCTCCTGAGTGAGGAATATGGGTGTTTTCTTGACATATGTGATTGGCATTTTTGAATACTAACAGTGTGTCACTTAAAAAACACACGCACACAGTCTTTTCTAAAAAAGAGCAAGCCGGCGTGTATGCCGGGGTGGGCACATGTGCGTGTGTGTGGTTCCTGTGTCTGCTTCCATTCTTCCTGCCCACAGAAACTTTTCTCTTGTAAATTCTTCTGGAGCTTAATTAGTTTTCTGGATAATTCTTTCAATGAATTATTAAGAATGGATGTAGGCGGAGAGGCCCAGCCTGTGCTTTTCTGTGTTTGTACTGAAGGAGCCCACGCTTGTTGTAAGTGGCCACCTTGGCAGAGATGCGCAGTCGTCTCTTGCAAAAAGCGGGACTTGGAAGGGGGGCTGTCCGTGGTGCTGAAGTTGGGGCCTCACTCTTGATGCCAAGGTGAGGGCTGAATTTGTGCCGACCGTTGCCCTAGGAGCTCTTTAAACCTTTTTATTTCCTCACCAAAGACACTGAGTTAAACCTACAGCCTTCAATACTCTGCCCTGTCTTTCACCTCCGTCCCCAACTTCACTGTCTTTGTTTTGAGTTAAAGGGTCATTACGAGGAGGTAGGAAAAAACCGAAGCTTTATTGCCACGATGCTTCACTCCCGTAAAGATGTGTTTTAGAGTCTAGAGGGCCCAGTGAACGAGTGTTGCCGGCAGTTTCTCTGGCTTCCCACAAGGAGAGCTGAAACGCCGGTTGCCCAGCAACACACATTCCCTGGCTCCTTCCCACAGCGTGGACTTAAAAAAAAGTCCTGTGATGACTCATGAATGGGGAACCACGTGGAAAGACACAGGGCGAACGGTCTGCTGTAAGAATGCAATATCCGTTCTTCGCTGTCTTTGGTATCTTCCCGAGAGCGTACACAGGGTCACATGGACCAGTCAGTGGGTTGCGCCTTCAGCGAAGTGCACCTAATGAACGAGATTTACCATTAGAGACTTCATAGGACAGTCCAGTCTTGTCATTTGTGGGTTTCGTATTGCAAACTTCCCTACGTGCTAAAATTTATTTGTAACCCCAGATTGATACTCCTGTCATTTCACCGTCATTCGCAGACCTGCCTGATGGGCGTGTTCCCAGCTGAGGGTGAACAAGGCAATGCTCCGCCCTCTCGTTCCCTTTGTCCCTGTAAACAAGTGTCCTTTTTACAGTCAGTGTAGTAGGGCCCCAATTTTTGGCATTTGTGAACTTTGCGATGGTGATTTCACTGTGGAAAATGACCCCCAAGTGTAGTCTGTGTCGTGGTCTCGAGCTCCGCAGTGCGAGAAGGCTGGGCACAGCTTACAGGGGACATCTGTGGTCAGCTGTCGTCATCTGTGATCCGGTTCAGCTGTTGGTGGATCAACAATGTGGAGCATCCAGAGAAAGGAAGAGGGAATCCACTGATCCGTGCACATCAGGCTGGTCTGGAAGGCGCTCGGGTTACTTCTAAAGTGCATGCTGGCCCCGGCCGGGTGGCTCCGTTGGTTGGAGCACTGTCCTGTACACCAAAAGGTTGTGGTTTCGATTCCCGGTCAGAGCACATACCTAGGTTGTGGATTTGATCCCCGGTCGGGGTGCATGCAGAAGGAGGCCCATCGATGTTTATCTCTCAAATCGTTGTTTCTCTCTCTCTCACTCTCCCTAAAATCAGTAAAAACATATCCTCTGGTGAGGATTAAAAAGTGAATTAACTTAAAAAAATGAAGTGCATGATGAAGCTATGGAAGAGTGGCTGGATATATTTGTAGATTCACAAGATGACGACTGATTAAAAGTGTAGTGGGCAGTGTTGTTGTGAGGCTGATAGCCACAGAGATTTATGGTCATGCTACCCAGGGTCAGGAAAATGGCAAGCCCATCTCAGCTAGTTTTTTATTATAAAGAAACGAGTGCCTATAATTCATTCTTTGTAAGAAATATATATTCAATAAGGTGTCTTGAAACAGAAACACATATGAAACAAGGTTATGTATTGATCAACTGACAAAATGTGACCAGAGGCCCTTGGGAACCTCAGCTGTGCGTTTCCCTGGGAGCAGTCGTGCCATGTTCACTAATTCAGTGTTTGCAAAGACTTAATAGAACGTAGCTACCACGAGTAATAAGAATGGACTGTATGTGATCACAGTATAGCCCTAATGGCTTCTACCTTCCACTTCCCATATGGAAGACAAAGCCCACGGCTCACCCAGGTGCAGTGTCTTTGCTAGAACTGTCTGCCAGGACTGGGACTTGATCTCCCACACTGGCTGTCAGCTCTGGCAGTGTCTGTGACACCCCCTCTGGATACATTTTGAAAGGAGTTAAATGCTTCCAGCCCCCACCTTTCTGTCTCAGTTTGGGCAGCTGTAACAGAATACCACAGATGGGTGGCTTAAACAACAGAAATTTATTTCTCACTTCTGGAGTGTGCGAAGTCCAAGATCAAGGCGCTGGCAGGTTTCTGGTCTGGTGGGGACCCACCTTGTGGTTCATAGATGGCTGACTTCTCACTGTGTTCTCATGTGGTGGAAGGGGTGAGGGGGCTCTCTGGGGCTTCGTTTGTAAGGGCACTAATCTAGTTCATGGGGGCTCCACCCTCATGACCTAATCACCTCCTAAATCACACTGGGGGTAGGATTTCAACATAGGAATTTGGGGATGACATAAACATTCAGCCACTCTCCTTCTACCACTTTTATCACCGATTATTTTGCTTGAAGGAAAACCTTGATATATTTTTAAATTGCCCTGGAACTGGGCCCAGCAACCCCAAACTGACACCCTAATTGGTCCCAGATGGAAAGGAAAAAGGATTGTTCTTCCACTAGTCTTCCCTCCCTGAAGGCTGAGGCAGGTTCCATGGGAAATGTCTCCATTTCTGGGGTCTAATCTCTGCACACGGGCCTGCGTCTCACACGGAGTCTGCTAAGCTGGGCTGTCCCTCTCCAGGGAGCTGNTGTCTCACACAGAGTCTGCTAAGCTGGGCTGTCCCTCTCCAGGGAGCTATGCAGGGGGTGGCTGATGGGGAAACAGGTGGGAGGCCAAACCCCTCTCACCTGACAGGAGCACGACACAGGGATGTGAATGTCGGGCATGGGAGACAGAGGCCCCCTCCACCTGCAGGGCCACAGAGGCTCCAGAGGGGAAATGACTTCGGCAGCAGCTGGTGTTGATGGTGATGGTGATGTAAGCAGAGCCTTTTAGAAGCAAGGCAGGAAAAATGTTGGGACAGTACAGGGATGGGGAAACAGGGGCCACTCCTCCAGGTCAATTTTTAAAGAGCCTAGAAACACAGTCTGTAAACTCCTGGGCCTCACTATCATGGCTCGGGGCCCTGGTTCCCCACAGCACCTGCAAAGTCCCCAGAGGAGGTTTTTCTAGAAAGTTCTGTGTTCTGTTGCTGACTGAGTGCTTGGGCCTATGCCTGTCTCACCACTTATCAGGAATATGAATACCTTTATTACTACTCTGTGCAGATATAAGAGTTAAGGGACAATAGCAATAAAGTGGCTGCAACTCCTCGGCAAAAGGAACTCTGCATGTATCATAAACACCTAGATCTTCAGTGCAAGTTCATGGCTGGGGAACTGCTTTTTCTGGCAGGGACCGCCTGTGTGCACAAACTCAGAGAAAAGGGCTGTGTGTGCAGCCAGCAGCCGAGCCACTGGCCACGGCCGCCTTCCTCTCGTTTCTGTTCCCAGGCCTCATTATGTGCAAAGTCACCGGCACGCACACAGACACACAGGACCACCCAGCACAGCCAGACAGAGGTGCCAAGGGAGGTGTTTTGCATGAATTCTGTCCTTAGGGTTAGAATCACTTGCTCAGCTAACTGCAAAGAGCCTTGTGCTAGAAAATGATTAGTTTGCCATTAAAAAAAGGGAAAAACCCACTGCCCAGTAGAGGCCTGGGGTCCACGTGGAGTGTGGCCGCTAAAGCAGCCCCCGCTCTGTCCGGCAGGGACAGCAAGCTCACCATGCTGCTGCNCAGCAGAGAGCCCTGTAGAGGCCTGGGGTCCACGTGGAGTGTGGCCGCTAAAGCAGCCCCCGCTCTGTCCGGCAGGGACAGCAAGCTCACCATGCTGCTGCGCGAGTCCCTGGGGAACATGAACTGCCGCACCACCATGATCGCGCACATCTCGGCCGCGGCCGGCAGCTACGCGGAAACCCTGTCCACCATCCAGGTCGCCTCGAGGGTCCTGAGGATGAAGAAAAAGAAGACGAAGGTAAGGTGCTGGGGGGTGCAGTGACGGGGCTTTGGGGGAGCTGAGTCACAAAGAGCCAAAGTGGTGGCATTTCCAATCCCAGTGGCAGAGGCGCAGGGGCTCAGCGTCCACCCGGAGCAGGAAACCTTCAGGCTGATGCAGAAGAGTCACTTCTGGTCCCTGCAGTGGGTGCTGTTCCGGGGTACCCGGCCTGGACCCCTAATGGGGGTGCGGGTCCACTGTGCATGGCTCACATGGATTGCTGCTTGGGGTGGAGCAGTGGGAGTGACAGAAGTTCTCACAGTCTCTCCCACGTGCCCCAGTCCAACGTGGACCAAGACCATGTCCATGTCCTGTGTCCTTCAGCTGGCTGACCCTCAAGAGGACTGTTAATTCATTGTTCACAGTGCCCCACTCCCCCTGCGTTTCCAGGCTGCTGGGCTCTGCCCTGTTACCTCAGTGGTTTCTGGTTGATGCTAAGACTCTGCTAGAAACCATTGGGCTCATTTCCGAGGTAGATGACATGACAAGAATGTGTGAGAAAGTAATCGTGACTGGTCACTCTGATCCAGGGCCAGCTGCTGATGTGGGGGGCTTTTTCCTCTCCTTGTTGTAACTTTCTTTTTTAACTAGTCAAAAATAAGTCTTTCCAACCAGTGTTCCATGGTACAAGGTGCCACAGATGGCTTGGGTGGGCCACTTTGGGGACTCCTCCGCTCTTAGCTCAGCCAGGGCCTGGGCTGGTCACCTCCTTTCATCAGCAGTCTGTGTGTCCCCATGGGCCATGTAAGGGTTACCCTCTGCCTACGAGGCCATGATGTGGAAAGCTGGGCACAGCAGCCTGGCACAGCCCAGATAACCGCCCATATGCAGGGCAGCCAACCAGCAGCCTGGAGAGCCTGTATCCAGCCAGCAGGGTGGCTCCCTGGAAGGCTGCCCAGGTTGACTGTTTCCCTCTCACCCACAGTACACGTCGAGCTCCTCGGGGGGAGAGAGCTCCTGTGAAGAAGGCAGGATGCGCAGGCCCACCCAGCTGAGACCCTTCCACACCAGGGCTGCCGTGGACCCTGATTTCCCAATCCCTCACCTGTCCAGTGACCCCGACTACTCCTCCAGCAGCGAGCAGTCCTGCGACACTGTCATCTACATCGGGCCCAACGGCACAGCACTCTCCGACAAGGAGCTCACTGACAACGAGGGCCCCCCGGACTTCGTTCCCATCGTCCCGGCCCTGCAGAAGCCCAGGGGCGACAGCCGGGCCCCGGAGGCTGGAGAGGCCGCGGCCAGCAAGCCAGAGAGGGACTGCTTGAAGTGCAACACGTTCGCCGAGCTGCAGGAGCGGCTGGATTGTATTGACGGCAGCGAAGAGCCCAGTCAGTTTCCTTTTGAAGAGCTGCCTGCCCAGTTTGGGGCAGAGCAGGCAAGCAAGTGTCCCCTGTTAGGCCAGGCGGCTGGGACCAGCCTGCTCTGTGAGTCTGACAAGGAAGAAAATGGGTCAGATGGCCAGCTGACCGGTGACGGAGAGGGTGCTGACAGCCCGGCCTCCAGGATGCCGCGAAATCACTCACCTGTCCCTGCCACCGCCCTCACCAACAGCCCCAGCCCTGCCTCGCCCAGGAGCATCCCTGGCAGCAGCAGCCAGCATGGCTCCTCCCAGCTCGTGCAGAGCCCCAGCCTCCAGAGCAGCCGAGAAAGCCTGAACTCCTGCGGGTTTGTGGAAGGCAAGCCCCGGCCCCTGGGCTCCCCTCGGTTGGGCATCGCCAGCCTGTCCAAGACCTCAGAGTACAAGCCGGCCAGCTCCCCTTCGCAGAGATGCAAAGTCTACACCCAGAAGGGCGTCCTGCCTTCTCTGGCGCCGCTGCCCCCGTTGAGCAAGGACTCCGGCATGGTTTCCAGTGAGTCCCTGCTGCAGCCTGAGGTGCGGACCCCCCCGGTTGGAATGAGCCCCCAGGTTCTGAAGAAGTCCATGTCTGTGGGGAGCGAAGGGTTCCCCGACAGCCCCGCTGATGACGAGCGTCAGGCGGCAGCATCTCCAGAGTCCAGGAAGGAGATCGTGAGCACCACGATGGTGACGGTGCAGCAGCCGCTGGAGCTGAACGGCGAGGACGAGCTGGTGTTCACGCTGGTGGAGGAGCTGACCATCAGCGGGGTCCTGGACAGCGGCCGCCCCACCAGCATCATCAGCTTCAACAGCGACTGCTCTGTGCAGGCCCTGGCCTCGGGCTCGCGGCCCGTCAGCATCATCGGCAGCATCAGTGAGGACCTGGAGGGCTACTCCAGCGTGGCTCCTGTCTCTGAGGTCAGCATCACGCAGTTCCTGCCCCTCCCGAAGCTGAGCCTGGACGAGAAGGGCCGGGAGGCCGGGAGCAGGCGGTCCTCCATTAGCTCCTGGCTGAGCGAGATGAGCACCGGCAGCGATGGCGAGCAGTCCTGCCACAGCTTCATCGCCCAGACCTGCTTTGGGCATGGGGAAGCAATGGCGGACCCCCCGGCCTCAGAGTTTGCTGGCAGCCTCCAGAACCCTGCCATGGTGTGCCGAGAGAAGCCCAAGGCGGGCCCCGACAACCTGCTCATCTTGTCTGAAACGGGGGGAGACTCTTTCAGCAAAGCCACGCCCATCAAAGGCTGTAAGATATCCACCCTAGGCAAGGCCATGGTCACCATCTCCAACACGGCAAACCTGGGCAGCTGTGAAGGGTACATCCCCATGAAGACCAACATTACGGTCTACCCCTGCATCGCCATGAGCCCCCGGAACGTCCAGGAGCCTGAGGCGTCCACCACCACCGCCCCCAAAGGAGCCCAGTCCCAGGAGGGCAAGGAAACCAGTGCAAAGAGGGAGATGACATTTGAGGACCCATGGCTGAAACGGGAGGAGGAGGTGGAGAAAGAGAATGCTTGTCCCAGTGAAGGACAGAAGTCAGAGGCTGCTGCAGGCCCTGCAAAACCTGAGGCCAGAGCAGAGCGAGGACAGGACAGGAAGGCCAGCCCCGGGGACAGGCTGAGCAGCAGCAGCGGTGAGGTGTCTGCCTCCCCCGGGACTGACAACTGCAAGAGGGTCGTGGATGGCTGCGAGATGGCCCTGCCCAGTGGGGCTGCCCAGAGCCCTGTGCATCCCAACAAGAGCCTGAAGTCCAGCAGCCTTCCCAGGGCTTTCCAGAAAGCCAGCCGGCAGGAGGAGCTGGATGGCCCCCTCTACCACAGCACCCCTGAGGCCAGTGGCATGGGCACCACTTTGGGTAGCCCGTCCTCCAAGGCAACCCTGGAGAGGAAGGTGGCATCCCCCAAGCACTGCGTCCTGGCTCGGCCCAAAGGCACCCCCCCACTGCCCCCTGTCCGAAAGTCCAGCTTGGACCAGAAGAACCGGGCCAGCCCCCAGCACAGCGCCTGTAGCAGCAGCACCAGCAGCCCCTTGAACCAGCCTGTGCCCTTCTTGGCCAGCTTCCCTGATGAGCCCAGCGGCAAGGTGAAGGATGCCAGCAGCAGCAGCAAGCTCTTCAGTGCCAAGCTGGAGCAGCTGGCCAGCAGGACCAACTCTCTGGGCAGGACAACCATCAGCCACTACGAATGCCTCTCGCTGGAGCGGGCGGAGAGCCTGTCCTCCATGAGCTCCCGGCTGCACGCAGGCAAGGACAGCACCATGCCCCGTGCCGGGAGGAGCCTGGGCCGCAGTGCCGGGGCCTCACCCACCAACCCGGGCCCCCTGCAGTCGGCTGGTGCCTCGCCCAAGGCCAGCCAGTCCAAGATCTCGGCCGTGAGCAAGTTGCTCCTGGCCAGTCCCAAAGCACGCAGCCTGTCCACCTCCACCACCAAGACGCTCAGCTTCTCCACCAAGTCCCTGCCGCAGTCTGTGGGCCAGAGCTCCAACCCGGCCCCAAGCGGGAAGCACATGTCCTGGTCTACGCAGTCACTGAGCCGGAGCCGGGGCTCGGGCCTGGCCGCCAAGCTGCCCCTGCGCGCAGTGAACGGGCGCATCTCTGAGCTCCTCCAGGGCAGCGTGGGGCCCCGGGCCTCACAGCCGCGGGCTGCCCCCGAGGAGGACCGCACGGGGGTCCCCGAGGACAAGCCGGCAGCTGCACCCCTGCTGCCATCGCCTTACAGCAAGGTCACCCCGCCCAGGAAGCCGCATCGCTGCAGCAGTGGCCACGGCAGCGACAACAGCAGCGTGCTGAGCGGGGAGCTGCCGCCGGCCATGGGCAAGACGGCTCTGTTCTACCACAGCGGGGGCAGCAGCGGCTACGAGAGCATGATGCGCGACAGCGAGGCCACCGGCAGCGCGTCCTCTGCCCAGGACTCCATGAGCGAGAACAGCAGCTCCGTGGGCGGGAGGTGCCGGAGCCTCAAGACCCCAAAGAAACGCTCCAATTCAGGTAGGCTCCTGGACGCGGGTGCATGGGGGGACAAAGGGCCCAAACCCTTTGGGCCATGAGGGGCGTCCAGGCCAGCGGCACTGACGACCTGGGCTTTCCTTTCCCCGCAGCCTGTCAACCTGCAGGCCTCAGCGGTGGACACAGCCTGGAGGGTGTCACTGTAAAAACTGGCCTGCTGTTTGGGCTTCAATAGGCCTTAGGCTGAGAATGGCCTGGGTCATCAGCCTGGTGAAAGGCAGGACACACCTCACACTCACCAGCTGTGGGGACATAGCTGCCTGTCCCTCCGTGGCTCCCGTCACCTCATGGACCAGGACTATGGCTGCCTAGAGGCTCCCTAGGGAGCAGGTCAGAGTAACTGCCTCACGACCTAGCGCCTGCAGGAGCAGAAATGGGGACCGCTGGCCCCCAAGACCCTGGCAGCAGCTCTCCGGAACTGGGATGAGTCACTCTGACTCACTGGAAGTGCAGTGGGGGAGGCCCTTCCTCCCCCACCCCCCGCACCACCACCAGTCTTGGTCACAAAGTCCAGCTTGTGTGGCGTTTGCATGTCGCCGTGCTTTCACACGCTATAATTCAGTGGCTTGAATCTACCAATTCGTTTCATTCTTTCAATGTCTTTTATTCATTTTCAAGACTTGCATTTTTTGGTGTGGCTGTTGTGCAGGAGACAAGAGGAGGAAAACTGAGTAAAGTAACTGCCTGAGAGAGGGGAGTGGGCTCCGCACGTGTTCTTGCTCTGGTGCCCTCCGAGGGTCTCGTTAGGTTAGGCTATTTAAGGAAAAGGGTGTGAAATAAATGGCCAGGCATAGTGCCAGAGGTAGGCACTGGACCTCGTGAGTGGCTGCCATAGATCCAGGCTCCGTAATGGGTGTGGCAGCAGAGATATGCTCCTTTCAGCTTAGGTGACCTTGTCTTGCGTATTTGTCATCATTATTAAGAGAAATGCTGGCTGTCAGGCATGATCAGTGTAAGTCAAAAGCAGCTTCTTTAAGAGAAGCTATAAAACTCTTCGAAGGAAATTCCTGGCTAGAGGGCTGGATTTTACCATTTCTGGGGATGTGTGGAACTGCCACAGAGGCAGGCAGGTACCTTTTCTTAGAAATGGCTTTTGAATCTGGAGAATTGTCCTGTTTTGGTTCCTTAGTACCAATGGGCTAGGAAGATAACCTTGAGTCTGAGCGCTCTGTATGCATGTAACAGCAGGAACAGCAGACAGCGCTGCAGGTCACCGTTCCTGGAGATGCGTGTTGGGGAGAGTGCATGGAATTGGGCTTGTTCTTTTGGCCATGGTATGGAGCACTGAGAAGATGGAACCAGAGAGCAGGAGGCTGGGGGTCTTATGCTGCGTGACCTCGAGGGTGTAACTTTCCTCATGCAAAAACTAAAGTGAGGGGTCGGTAGACAACTGCCATGGTCTCTCTCATGTCCACATCCCATGAGATGATTCAAATAATATAATGTTGGTGGTAGCATGACTTCCTTTTCTGTTGTTTAACAGTGACTAGACCTCTTCGCTTTTTCAGAGCTTGGCGATATGGAAGTTGCAGTGTGGTGAGGAAAGACAGGCCACTGGAGAGAAGGGACAGAAGTGTGGAACAGAGAACCAAGATGCACTGCCGAGTGGCAGTGAGAGGTGGAAGTGGAGGGAGGGTCTGAAGTGAGCTCTGTCCTGAGGATAGTTGGGGAGGGCACTGTCGGGAGCACAAGCTTGGGGAGCAAAAGCCTGGCCTGTGGGCCACACGGGGGTGTTCTTAATGGCTGTAATGACAGAGTAGAATGTAAACCCACATCAGGTTATACCTTAAACATGTAGCAGCTATAAGCATTATTGTAGTCATGTGCTGCTTAGCCATGGGGATATATTCTGAGAAATACGTTAGGTGATTCTGTCATGAGAACACACAGTGCACTTACGCTGGATGGAACAGCCTATTGCTCCTGGGCTATAAGCCTGTACAGCATGCAACTGTACAAAACAACACAAGATTAAATCAGCACAATATGTGTGAGGCTATTGCAGACTTTTTATCATTTTTTTACTTACATAAAAAAGTAGAGCATAGTAAACACATAGACCAGGTCATTTATTATTAAGTATTGTGTGCTGTACATAACTGCATGTGCTGTGCGTTTATACGACTGGAAGCACATGGTGGGTTCTTCACACCAGCGTCACCACACCCGTAAATAATGCATACACTACGATATGTAACATCACTACAAATTTTTCAGCTCTGCTGCAGCCTTATGGTTCCGCCTCGAGGAGAGCTCTGTGGCCCCGGGCACCTACTCTGTCTCACCTCCAGCTAAAACTCTACAGCAGGCAGTGCAACCAGCATCGTCATGCATTGGGGAGGCTGGGACGCTGGCTCTCGGTGGTCAGTAAAGTCACTCAGATTGATATTCTCTCTCCCCCCTCATCTCTGATGTCTATGGTTCCTTTCCGTGTCTTCCTAGTGCCCATACCTTAGTGAGGGTGCTGGAGGGGACGCTGATGATGGCGGGCTCTCAGGGGCAGGATGGACAAGCACATTCCCCGAGGAATGCTGCGAGGCCTCAGCACTCAGGTGCCCACGTTTCCTGACCCTTCTGTCTGGACTCCGGTGTTAAAAGTGGTAGGCCCGATGTCAGACTTCTCAAGGGGGCCAGCAGTGCTGTAGAGGAGAGGTAGACTGTGACCTGTCAGTGGCCCCTCTTCATGCATGTAGTTGGCAGCAAGTTTCATTAAAATAAAATACCAGCATTGACTTTCTCAGGTCAAATCTGGGCCATTTCGTGCATCAAAACCATGCTGGCAGTTATCAGCTTACATGCCTTTTTACATACCTGACTTCCATCTGTCTGGACTGAGTGCTGTGCTGATGAGCAGGGAGTGACTGAGAGGAAGGAGTCCTTGTCATCCACAGGGCCCCATGCCACTATTGCCTGGCTGAGTTACTTCCCCTCTGACACCCTGGCACCATACAGTTATTACAATATTATGGACTATATTCCCTATGCTGTGTGTCCCATCCCTGTGATTATTTTAATGTCATTGTAACACATACCCCTGCCGAGGGTGTGTCCAGCGAGTTTCACAGGTGGAGGTGGCTCTGAAGGTGAGTCGGGGACTCCCTGAGCTCCTGGAGCTAAAGTGAGCGCCATTTAAGGGAGTAAATGTTGAGGTGTGTGGTGGTAGGTTGGGAGTGTCTCAAACTCAGCTCTGCCACAGGTTCCCGGCACCTGGCCTGGCCCACTGCCTGCATCAAAAGAAAATCTGTTTAAAAGGTTGAAATTCAAAACAATGAACTTTGGGCTTAATCTCCTTTAGGTTCTCAGAGACGGAGGCTCATCCCCACGCTGTCCCTCGACACCCCCTCCCCTGTGAGGAAACCCGCCAACAGCTCCGGTGTCCGCTGGGTGGACGGCCCCTTGCGCAGCACCCAGAGAGGTCTTGGGGAACCTTTTGAGATTAAAGTCTATGAGATTGATGACGTGGAGCGGCTGCAGCGGCGAAGAGGGGGCAGCAGCAAGGTGAGCAACCTCCTTCTACCGGGTGGCAGTCCCCCCAGCAGGGCCCTGAGGAAGGGGCTCAGACCCAAGGAGACTCCCCAGTGGGCTCTGGTGTGGGTGGGAGCTCATGGCTCTGACCCAGCACCAGACTTTTGCACAGGACTTTGGAAAATGCCCTGTTCCCCATCTAAACATCTTCAAGGTTGGGGAGGCTGGGGCTGCTGGGGCTTTTTTGGCTCCAGCTCAGAACACCAGCTGCCTTCTAAATTTAGGAAGTGCCTCTGACAGTCCTACCCTGGGTTGGGTTGGCTGAGATGGCCCAAGGCCTCTCCCAAATTCCCCAGTGACCAGCTCCTTTCCTCCTCTCCTCACCTCCTGCAGGAGGTCATGTGCTTCAATGCAAAGCTGAAAATCCTGGAGCACCGCCAGCAGAGGATCGCTGAGGTCCGAGCTAAGTACGAGTGGCTGATGAAGGAGCTGGAGATGACCAAGCAGTACCTGATGCTGGATCCCAACAAGTGGCTCAGTGAATGTAAGGCCTGTGGTTCGTTTTCCTCGTTGCAACTACTGGGGTCACTAAGCAGTCTGGCAGGCAGGCTGGGGTGAAATAGTGTCCGTGTCTGAATCCAAGGGCCTCCAGGGCCCATCTGTTGGAGACAGTCACACCAAGCACACAATCCCCCTCTCTGGGGGCAGTGGGATTGGCAGGGGCAGCAAAGGGGTAGGGAGTATTGCTCTTGCAAGATTATTTCTTACGGGTCTCTGTTGAGAGCACCCGCATGCAGATGAGATCTTCCCCTGCATGTGGTGAAGATCACCCACGCGTGGAGGCTGTATTACCAGTCTGCTCCTAGGCCCCAGAGCACGGCACACATCCAGCCTGAAACAGACAGAAATTTATCGAGCTCTTAATAGGGAGACGGCACAATCCCAGGAAAGCCTCGGGGGGCCCAGAAAGCAAGATGAAAATTTCTGAGCGCAAACAATAACATTCAGTGTTGTTTCCATTCAATAGAAAGCCCAGGATGACAGTAACGTCTAATAACAAACCTGTCTTTGAGAGACAGATTCAATTGTCTCTTATTTGTTCTAACCATTCTGTTTGCCACAAAAGAAAGCTCAGATCTGGTCCTGAACTATTACACTGATTGGGGACCCAATGCATTACTGCCCTTGGAATTCCTTTCCCAGCTCTGCTCTCCAGCCCTCCCTGTCTCCACAACTGTCCCTGCTCAGAGGGGCAGCTGCATGGTGAGTGCAGGACCCACGGGAANAGCCCCCACCCAGGCCTCCCTGTCTCCACAACTGTCCCTGCTTAGAGGGGCAGCTGCATGGTGAGTGCAGGACCCACGGGAATGGAGCATACTTCACATCAGTGAGCAGAGGTATAGATGCCCGACCGAGGGGCAGGTGCAGGCCATCCTTCCCATGAGCTTCTCCTGTTTGCAGTTGACCTGGAGCAGGTGTGGGAGCTGGATTCCCTGGAGTACCTGGAAGCGCTTGAGTGCGTGACAGAGCGTCTGGAAAACCGTGTCAACTTCTGTAAGGCCCACCTCATGATGATCACCTGCTTCGACATCACCTCCCGGCGCCGGTGAGAGAGCCGACCGCAGCCAGGCACAGGCACCAGGCCCGGGTGCTGGTGGCACTGAGACCACAGCATGAGGATGAAGGTTGGTGGAAAGTCTGCAGTGACGTTGAGCAGTTCTGTTTTCTGTAGGAGATACAAACCCCAAACACGCGTGGGAGGAGGAAACGATGGAAGCCCAAGGGATGTGGAAGCCCCATGAGACTGAAAAAGCACTTTGAGGAACTTTCTAGAACTTGTTTGTACATAAGAATACTGGCAAGAGAGACCTTGCTCTTCCCCTGGTTTGGTGAGGAAGGGCGGGAAGGGACGTGGGTGGCTGTTGAAAGCTGAAGCAAAACAACGGAACATTACCCAGATGGACTGATTAAGTGCCTTGCAAATCTTTACTATTATCCAAACATTTATGTTCATACTTTCTTGTGTACAGATGGTGCTAGTCAAGACGCAAACAAACAAACAACGAAAATGAACACATTTTTGAAGTGTATTTACTGCCCGTTTTCTCTTGGTGTTTTATCCTATTTCTGACTTGCTGTTTCTAAGTAAGTTGTGTTTGTAGAGCTATTTCCTAATCAGTGTTGCATATGAATAAATGTTAACTGTCTCTTACGGTTCTCCTGGTAAGGCCACTCAAACAGAGCATGGAGACTTCACGGGCACAAGCTGGTGTTTTTCCAAAGAAGGTTGGAGCGGCAGGTGGTGCTTGATGTCACCTCTTGCAAGTGGCCCAGTCAGTGGGCAGCGTTGGAAGGTCAGTCCTGGGACAGGTGCACCTGAGCTTGAGAGGAAAAAGGCTGCATCTTTAGGGGAAAGGGTGCCTTTGTCACCCAGGCCCCATGTGGCCTCGGGGTGGGACACTTGTTTGTATAGTTTCCCTCCAAATCCTCATGCACTTTCCGGTTCCTTCACCCAGGGTTTCACAGCCCTGCAGACACTTTTCATATTCATTTTCATCCCAAAGACTCTGGACTGAAAGCTCAGGCCAATTCACCAGAGCCATAGCTTCTGTTCTCTGGTTTTGTGAGTTGATTAGAGCAGGGACTCTGTCCAGCTCAGAGACCTCCTGGGCTTGGATGCGCTCAGACATGCCAGCAGTGTTGCTTCAGAGCAAGAAGGGATCTGGGGTTGCACACATTTTCTGCTATTCCGAGTGCTGCTTAGACAAATGAAGGTCCAGGTCTCCTGTGTCCCCAAGCCGCCATCCCCAAATTAAGATGCTCATCCCTGCCACAACTCCCTTCGGTTCTTATGATCCCCATCTTAGTGACGGAATGCCGAGGCACAAGGTGGTGGAGGGATTGTCTAATGCCAGCTGTGGAGCAGCAGAGCGTCTTCCTGCCTTCCAGGCAGGGCCCTCTCCTGTCCCCGCAGCCTGCCCACTGGTGGAGGTGCTTGGGTTTTACAGAGGTTTTTGCCTTCAAATGCAGCCCCTCTCAGGAGCCGATTTCCACAGTCCCCACTAGCTGACGCTTCATCCCAGGGCTCCCCAAGGAACAAGAACCTCTACATTTGTCAACGTACCTCTGGATGGAGGTGGCCCAGCTCAGCCGAACTCTCTCGAGTTTCACGGCTGTACCCGATCTCCTCCTGGTCAGAGTAGGATACAGAGGGCTGTTAGTTCTGGATGGTGAAGATTACCCAGAATGGACCATTTCCCCTCTAGTTTCCCAGGCTTGTGTCCCCATCTCCTGTACCTTTCCCCCGTCCTGCAGGGCCTAACCCAGGCTCAGACACACCTCTGGTCTCTCAGCACTTTAGTGAACTGGCTTGTTCAACTGCAACATTTTGGAAGCTTCTAGACCCCAAGGGATCCCAACCTTCTGCGTTTTCCCTATTTGGCATCCCTTTNGCTTCTAGACCCCAAGGGATCCCAACCTTCTGCGTTTTCCCTATTTGGCATCCCTTTCGGTTGTTCGTTTCCTGAAGCAGTACAGTTCAAAAGCCTTGAACTGCGGGGTTGTCAACGGTGAGTATCCTTGTCTTTGCTGGAAACAAATCTCTTGATTAGCACTCAGTGTCCTTGGCTTTTCCCCAGGCACATCCCCCTGGCCCCAAAGTCATTGGCTGGGCAGAAGTCCTTAGCAGGACAGGGGAGTGGCCTGTGGTGCCCTCCTGGACTGACACTAGGTGAAACAGCACAAAGATTTACAATGTCATCAGTAGCATCTTCCCCAGGGGCATGGCCTCAGCCTGTCTCCTGCCCATACCTGATTCTTTCCATCTGTAGCACCTTGAAGAGATAGCAAAGGGTTTCGTGAAACGAACCCCTCAGGACACCGTCAGCCACGGTGCAGGAAAACAGCTCTGTGTGCAGGTTGTCCGTTCTGGTGCTTGCTTTTTTTTAAACCTACATCAACTGTAAACAGCTTAATGTACCAAGTACTGAATAACACGTGAGGAAACCATGGACTTTGTGCTGCGATGGGTTCGTCCCTTGTCCTACTGTGTGTTGACCGCATGGAAGATGATCCCCAGCTCCAAGGAAAGCAGGTCTGGCCCTCTGCTCTGCAGACATCTTGGTGACCAAAGAGTCCAGTCTCCTTCGGTTCTGGTGACAGAGAACCAAGAAAGCAAAGGGAATGTCATTATCCATGAGCGAAAGGACCAAAAAATATTGATTTGAAATGAATATTTAGTGGTGGAAGCCTTAATTCCTTGTCTGAAATCTGCCACCTCTCCAAATAGTTGACCTGAAGTGGAAGCATTAGCAACAGAACACTCAGATCCGTAAGCGGGACAGAGTGATGCTGTTTCCCGGGAGTGAGTCCACACTGCATTTCACGATGCTGTTTCAGGCTGCCACAGGCAGTGGTCTGCTTTATCCCCTGCGGTCTGTCCCTACCTGAGAGCTGTGTCCTTTGATCTTCTTGTCCTGGAATTCCCCTCCAGGTCCTGGGGAAGCTTTTGCTAACTTTCATCTCTTCCAGATTTGAAACTGGAACCCCGTCTGTTGTTTCCCCTCTAGTTGCTGTTCCGAACCTGGGAACTTGTGTCAATGCAGAGGTTTGTCCTGTGGTGACACAGGTGGGGATCATAAAAGCTGGGGTTCAAACTCCACGCAGCCCAGTGTGGGAACCAAGGCAGGCAGGAATCTGGCTGTTTGTTATCACTCAGCCTCGAGCTTAAAGAATGTGTTCCTGGAAGGTGGCCCTGGCTCCACTGTAGCATAGATCATGTGGGGAGGTGGCACCCACCTTGTGCTGGTTCTGATTGCCCTTCACGTGGAGCAAGAAGCCCTTCTTTGAGCTTCTATTCTCGTGCTGATCGTGAATTGGTTCATCCATCAGCTCTTCTCACAGGTGTTAGGATATGAAAGCAGCTGCCCGGCCTGGGCTCCTTGGGTTAGAGCGAGGCTTGCAGAAGCCCTGGAATTAAACTGCTTTTCCATGCAGTTGTCTATGTCATTGGTCACCACTGAACCGTCGCTTCCAAATTAATGGTGTAGTGGATGTTTTTAAGTTCCTTATTCTAAAAAGGACTTTAGGCTGTAAGAGAAATGAATGAGATGAGTTCTTTTCCAGTTGAGACCAGAATTCATGAATGTACTCGCTGTTCCTTCCTACTGGAATACTGGCCCCTCTCTGAGCGTATACTGAAAGATTTCCTCACTTTTAGAGGCAGTGGTTTTAAACCCTGAAACCGTGCCAATAAGGCACATGTTGAAAGTCCTGTTCACGACCAGCCAATGCTGGATAAACTGTCTATTCCCGCTGTCCCTGGAGCCTGCCCACGATAGGGATGTTTGACTGCTCTGAGAGGCCAGTGCTGCCCACTTTCCTCTGGGCCAAATGAAGCAAAGCAGGACAGTCAGCCTCACTGACAGTGCCAGGAAATGGTCTGAAATGGGCAGGGCACAGGTGGCAGAAATAGTGTTTCTTTGCATTGTCATATTTCCCCTCCTCCATCAACATCCATAAAAACGCATAAATTGTGTCACTCATCAATCTTCCTGACAAAACACATTTTTTTCTATTATAAACTGCTTATCATTTCCAGATAAGAGCATGGTTCCAATCCTGGAGAAGCTCTTATAACTCAAACTCATCTTCTCAAAAACCCAATTTTTTGAAAATTGTTAGAATCCTGCTTTTGGGTGGCCCTACTCAGAACCGGAGATGATGTCACAGTGGGGGGCATAGCGGTGCTTGAGGTGATGTCGAGCCTTCACTGCCTGGTAACTAACATTCTCTAAGTGGAGCTGTGCTCCCGTCCATGAGTGGAGGGGTGAATGCTTAAGTGTTCGCGCCTCTCTCACATGGACATGGGAATTATCTTCAGAACAAAAAAGGCTCATTTTACACCCTCTACTCTGCTATCCAACATCCCACAGCGTCACATTCGATTCATGAAGTTCTAAGTTACTTGTACACTCAGGATGGTGTTTTGTAAGTTACTTGTGCGTCACGGCTGGAACTGCCATCCGTGTGTAAGTTTGGTGGGTCTGTCTGTGGCTGTTTTCCCCTCATTCTGGCCCCAAGGGAGACATGGGCCAGGGGAGGAAAGAAAGAAATCAGGGGATTAGGGTCCAGTCCTCAAAGTACAGGGCTTAGTTCAAGGCCTAAGCTGTTTCTATAGTAAGTAGCTAAAGGGGAAAAGGTACCTTCATGCAGAATTTGATGATAATAGGCTTGGAAGTCAGCCTCCATGGACCCTGGAGAGGAGAGGATCCAACTTCTATCTACTGGTTCAATGCTGAAATCTGAAAAAATAAAATTTTAGGCAGTATTAGGTTCCTACATTTTCCTCTAATCTACCCCTCCTGGTGCTCCAGAAGTGGGTTTGGAAAAGCAACTAGAGTTCCTTACCTTGGATATAGATAGTACCTGTTTTTTTCTGGAGAAACCAAAGCACTTTAGTGAGTCTTACAACCAGAATACTTACGGCATCTTGTCCCCTCACTGGGTCTCTGGAGGCAGGGAGGGGCTGGGATGGGTACTCATTTGAGAGGCAGCTAAACCTAGGAGAAAAGCCTTGAGCTGGGGCTGAGGACACGAGGCAGCAGGCCTGGTGTCCTCACCTGCTATGCAACCGTGGACAAGTCGCTTTACTTGCCAAGCCTCAGGCTCCCCAGTGGAAGGTCGGGTTACCATAGCTGCTCTCCGTGATGGGAAGTGCTTTGAAGAAATTCGAGCTCTGACAGGCACTGGGGATAATCATTTACAGATGAAGAAACTGGTCAACAGATTAGCCCAGTTCACCGAGTAGTTTTCTAGCAGAACTGGGACTCGAGTCCAGCACCCTGGACTCTTCCCACAGGGTGCTGCTGCACTGTGTGCGCAGGGGAACACGTCACTCTGCTGTGCTGACGTGCGTGTGCATGGGGGTGGACTGGGCTGCATGTGTACCGAAGGCATGTGATGTGATGAGGAGCGCGGGCCAGGAAACGAGTTCTGATTCCAGTTCTGACGTCAGTCCGATGGCTTCGGACGATTACCTGACCTGCCTGGAACTTCCTAACCTGAAAATGCGGGCGTCGTGCTAAATGACCTGGGTGGTTCCTTCAGCTTGTCGTGTATGTATGTATATAAATACGCTTATCTGTAAAATGGGCCCATTGGGAAGTGGAGGCAAGGCCTGCCCAAGTGCATTTATTGTGTTGGAAACAAAAA